GGCCCGCATCTCCGATGCAGCAGGGCTAAAGACCGCAGTTGATGGCGCGGGGGGACGCCTTCACTGGTGGCCGATAGCCGGCCCGCATCTCCGATGCAGCAGGGCTAAAGACCGCAGTTGATGGCGCGAGGGGACGCCTTCACTGGCTCTCACAGATGTAAAAAAAAATGAGAGAGAAAAAAAAAAAAAACAGGTCAGGCAGCGGACGACGAAGGAGGAGAGGCAACCGGGCAAAAGGTGGAAATTGGCACTGGACAGCGCAGAAGGATGAGCACATGGCACAAGGCAAGATGAGCTATTCTGGGCTGGGAAGGCAGGATCCTTCTTCAGTTAGTAAGTTTACATGCACAGCTAAGTTGACTTATGGTTATAGCTACGCCATTTAATTGGAATGCTGTCCTTGGCCCAGCATACATATACGGGAGGGGAATCGATTTATTGACCGAAGTATGACTCCGCTACAGTAGGTGGCGATATGGCTCCTTTCAGCTGGTTAGTATTGGGCTTTTTCTGGTCAGCCTATTACGCTACAGATATAAAAAAATAAATAGATGAATAATGGATGCAAGGACAAATTAAGTGAGACAAGTTTTAATTTCGATCTGGTCAGAAGAACGGATACAAGATCAGGGTAGCATAAGAAAAAAAGTATTTTGTAGACTATACTATAACATATTAATATACTATGATATACTACATAATCTTGAAAAGGAATAATTATTTAAATCGCAAAACTTGCTATGCTTTTTTTCCCTATTACAAAGTAAAAATGTTTTAGCGAAACTTAAACTGATACCAAGGACTTAAAAATTGTACCAAACTGAAGGTAAGAAAAAGCCTGATCTTAATCTAGCTAGAATCGGACGTGCATAACATACGATGTTGGTATTAATACTGTACGTCGTCCAGTCCTACTGCAGCCATTTTTCTAATTTAGTACAAAATACTTGCCTTGCGTTGTAATGTCATTTGACGCCGGTACCAGTTTTTACAGCAGTAGAAAACCAACAACTTGAAGTACCGTCCTTTTGGTACCTTCTTGAAGTACTAAAAGTACGGTACCTGTTGTGGTGGAAAAGTGCCCTTTAGTTGAGCGGTGAATTGGACAGCTTTACAGCGCTGTACATCTGGAACGTGCTCTGCTATGCTCCAAGCTTCTTCTGCTACTTCCGGGTCAAAATCGGAGGGGGAAACTGTGGAGCACGATGCAGAGCGCCTAGGCCAGCTTGGGTCCGATTGAAGGTATGCATGCAGGAGTAAATCGAGTCCCATGCAGTAGCGTTATCTGGGTGTCTTTGTCCGACAGAGAAATTTGATTTAGTATGATTTCAGACTAACATGTTTTAGTCGGACTAACACAATAATTTGGTATTCTTAGTGTGCATGTAAACGTACTGACTTACCATGGTAAGGAGGACAAACTCAAGGATAAACGGACCCACACTCAAGGAAGTTTTACAGACCACTGGGCGGAGGGGGGTGGAGCTGGGGTGCAGTGAGCCGTATGATTTGGGGAATTATTTTAGCTTTTATTTGAATTTTTAGCAAGGACTGTTCAAGAACACCAAGTTGAAAGGATTTATTTGGATAAAAAAGGAAATTAAAAATCTTTGAAAAGTAATGAATTTCAGGCTGGTTAACAATGCATTCAAAATGGGGATTATGGCTTTTGGGGAGAGTTAAATCTTACCAAATCTTCAAGAGACAGTAAAAATGTGTTTTGGACCTGATGGGTTTCAGAAATGCATTGGAGTGCGACTGGGTACAGTTTGATCCTGACTAAGACTCCATCCTGCAATGTAACTACCACATTTTTCAAGCTGGAACATTTAACTACATGATAAGTTTTTGGGTTTCAAACATACATCTATAGACTATAAAATTATATCTATATCTTCATCTCTGAAGCTCCTCTAAACCCTAATCATGCCTGGCTGCTGTATTGGCATTGTCACCTCTCCTACCTACCAGCAACATGCTAGTTTAAATGCCTCTATATAAGCTTAGTCCTGATTGGTAGCAGCACCTGAACCATTCCCTCCCCACCTGCCACTAGGTTAAATGACTCAAAATAAGGCTGTCCCTGATTGGTTGTTGTACTGGCACCACCCCCTGCCCACCTGCCACTAATTTACTAGTTTAAATGCCTCTATATCAGCTTATTTCTGATTAACTGCTGCACCTGCACTGCTCCCTCCCCACCTGCCACTAGGTTAAATGATTCGAAATAAGGCTGTCCCCGATTGGTTGCTGTATTGGCACCGCCCCCTGCCCACCTGCCACTAGGTTAAATGATTCGAAATAAGGCTGTCCCCGATTGGTTGCTGTATTGGCACCGCCCCCTGCCCACCTGCCACCAGCTTGCTGCGTTTCGAGGCCTCGGCTGCCAGCTCGTAGCTGATGTTGATCATCTTCTCCTGCTCCAGCGTGCCGGCTTCTCCCTCCGTCTCGTCCTCGGGACTTAGGGACATGGGCGGCAGTGCGTTCTGCAGGCTGGCAAGAGGACATCGGGACGGTGGGAACAGGAGACTGTGTACCAGTGTACTAAAATGTCAGCAGGTCCCTAAAACCGTCTGGACGGGGCTCCCTGTGATATTGTCTCTGGACAGGCAGACGATGCAGGCTGCGTTAAACAATGAGAGGCGGATGCCAGGCAGCCTTTAAAGAAATCACTCCTAGGCTGGCATTCAGACTCAAATGTCACCCCACAATCAGGCAGGGATGCGGAGTGCTTTATGTGGAAGGCCTCACCGAGGGCCCCCTCCCCCCGCCCCCTCCCTAAAAGGCCGTTTGAGTGACATGTGGGGTGGCTTCCGCTGCACTGATCTCTACCACTGATCTCGCAAGCAGTGTCTCGTCTTCCAGCTTATTTTCCTGGTGCAGAAAATGCCATGTCGTTTGGCTGCATTTGCGTGAAGAGACACAGAAACGAGCACAGGCTTTCCCTCCCCAGGTCCCCGCCCCCCAGGACAGCGAGCCTTGCCTGGTCTTGGCAATGAGCGCTTTGATTCTCTCCACTTTCTCCTGCCTTTCAGCTTCCTCCTCTGGGCTGGACTCTGGGCACTGCTCTCGGATCAGCACCTTTTCTGGCTCACAGAGCTGTGGCATGGGAACACAAGGCCGGAGGCACAGGGAAAGGAAACGGAGTGTGAGAGTAACACAGTGTCAGACTGTGTCAAAGTGAGACACGGTATCAAACTGTGACAATGTCCATAGCGTTAAACTGCACAAAACTGACTCAGACTATTATAGAGTGGCACACTATCCAGCTATGTCAAACTGTGACAGTGCCCATAATGTCAAAATGTGTGCAAAACAGTGGCTAAATGACTTCCGCTAAAGCAGAACCGATAGTGTTTTCTGGCATCACGGATCCCAGGAAGACGACTGAGCGGTCCCCTGGACCAGCCACTGCAATTCACTGGAACACCGCACCAAATGCTCAGGAGTGACAGGCAGAATGAAGGAATCTCACTCACACAGAAAAGATTGGAATAAACATAGTTACGGACGTAAGTTTTTATTTTTATTTATGTATTACCTTTAAAAACAAACACCAGCAAATTAACTATGTAGCCAGATATGGATTGTGCAAATATAGTTATAGATAATTTATGTATTTAGGTGTATCTTTGTTGGGCTAAATTTTGATCAAATATCCCCACAGAAACAGTCGTTTTGGGGAGGAGCTTGCACAATGTAAACGTGCTCCTGTATGTCTGCGGACATCCCAATTCAGGGAGGCGAATGAAGGATAGCCCGGGGCTGGGCGTGGCTTTTAGTATTACAGCAGAAATACCTGATAGAGTAGTATAATGTCTAGACAGTATGACAGCAGAAAGCGGCGGTAACATTTGTCGACCAGGACTCGAAGGCAGCGTGTGGCTCAGTAAACTAAGCCTGTGATCAGAAGGTCGCCAGTTCGAGCCCAGCCTCAGCACGTCTGCATGTCCTTGAGCAAGGCCCTCAAACCCCAGCTCCCTGGGCGCCGTTACAGGTGGCTGCCCTTCATGGCCAGCTTGCTCTCACCTACAGAGAGCAAGTTGGGGGAGACATATGGGCGATCAATGAAGTATCAATTATTATTATTAGAGAGCGACTGTGAAATTTGCCAGCAGAGAGATGGAAGTAAGACTTCTTGCTAGCTGCTGAATGGTGGAACGACAGACCTGAGACACTGCGCATCATTCTTGTGTCAGGAAGCTGCTGTCAGCTTATGGGAGACTGGGAACTGCAGGACAGGTGAGATATCCGCCGCTATGTGTGAGCACGTACATATGCGGAGACGCCGTACCTCTGGTCCCGCCTCGGTGTCCTCGGGCCTTCCCACTTCCCTGTGGCGTGCTGTCTCCTCCACTGGAGGCTCCTGCTCCTTCAGCTCCAGGGTGTCTCTGCACTGCAACTCGTCCTTCTTACGGCTCTGGCAGAGTGAGAGAATGGTCAGTGACAAGCAAAGCCACTCATATTTATTCATTTAGCTTAAACTAAATAATGCAAAGATGATATACATCTGGAGAAAGCAGGGTCAGCCAGTTCCTGGAGTGACTGGGGGTTAAGGGCCCTGCTCAAGGTCCTAACTGTAACATCACTGTGCCGACCCTGGGATCTGAACCAGTGCCAACCTTCAAATTACAAGTACAGCGTCCTACCCTGCTAAGCCACGCAACACTGCCAATGAGCCCCTTTAACTACTGACAGCAGCCACACAATTTCTGCTCACTCAGAGCATTGGACTGATGGTAAACAACTATGAAACACTTTGCAATGAACCGGAACTGCTCCGGATACAATGTTTCAAGAAGCCAGAACCGCTCCGGATACAGTGTTGCAAGGAGCCGGAACTATTCCCGATACGGTGCTGCAAGGATCAGGAACCGCTCTCGATACAGTGCTGCAAGGAGCCGGAACCGCTCCCGATACAGTGCTGCAAGGAGCCAGAACTGCTCCCGATACAGTGCTGCAAGGAGCCAGAACTGCTCCCGATACAGTGCTGCAAGGAGCCAGNACAGTGCTGCAAGGAGCCAGAACTGCTCCCGATACAGTGCTGCAAGGAGCCAGAACTGCTCCCGATACAGTGCTGCAAGGAGCCAGAACTGCTCCTGATACAATGCCTTAAAAACTGAGCCGTCCCGACCCCTGAGAGGCTATAACCACAGAGGCACCAAAGCCAGGACGTAAACATCGCTTGCTGTGCACGGCAGACAGCCGGGGCGAAACCTTCCATCCTCTGCGTAATTAAATTATCCAGACGCTCTGCACGCGTGTTCCTGCCAATCAGTGGCGAGACGGCATAGCCGAAGCCGCCCTCCCCATCCGTGATGAGGCGCCGGACTGGACAGCTGAGGGATGCGCAGAGGCATCTTACAGGGCTGAAGGTCACCCAGGGCAGCCCTATCATATTGCCAAGATTAATTATTCTATTCCGTTTTCAGAGGCCTTGTCATTTTTATTGTTGTTTTGCAGTTTTATCCATCCATCCATTCCAGTCACTGAGGTCCCTGACGTCCTGCACAGGGTATATGCCCCCCACCGTCACAGTCTGCCATCTGGGGCAGTACCTGCAGGGTGATGGGAGGTGTGTGGGAGGGGGCGGAGTCCTCCTGGCCCACCACGCCCTTCTTCTTGTCCCTGAGCAGGGCCTGCTGGTGCCTCCGGATCCGCTCCAGCTGCTCCTCCAGGCTCATGCGAGGTCGCGTGCACTCTGACCCCCCCGGCTGCTCCACAGCACTCTGGGGGCGATCCTGCTGCGGGTGGGAGGGGAAAGGGCGGAGCTCATCATTGGCTGAGAACTGACATGCCCACACTCTGGACTGCACTGAGCATGGACATGCAGAAGCGGCTGATGCTGGAACATTCCACACCGCCTGCTCACCCTGTTAGATATATTATTTAATTGTGTTAAATCAGTTGTCAAGGAGCCACAGAAAGCAGAATTAAGGCAGCAGAGAGGCCAGCAGGGGGCAGCACACAGTTAGCCAGCATGACCAGTAGAGGGCAGCCTTACCGTTTTGGAGTCAGGCTTCTTGCTCTTCCTCAGGGTGACGTAGGATGCGATGGTGGCCGATTCAGGCATGGGGGACACTATGCCGACAGGGTAGGGGATTCCTGAGAGAGGCGACAGGTGATCACCCGGGCCGTTATAGCCAAGGCTCCCCGTGTGCGGGCCCCTGGGGGCCTCACCTTTGGGGTTGGTCGGCTCTGCTTCCGCCACCTGCTCGGCCTTCTCCTCCCCGTTGGTCTCGTCCACCTCGGCCACCGTTGTCAGCTCCGGCTCGCTCTTGTACAGCCTGTAGTCCGGACCCTGATGGGCGGGAAGCTGACTGAGCACAGATGGACACCCCCTACAGGGTGGCAAAAGCAGGATGTGTACAGCGGCGGGGCCACAGGGACACTGGCCCCAGCGGATTGGCCCCCAAAGTGCCCCCTTGTCCTGTCACTCACTGATTCAAAGCATAATACTGCCTAATGATAAGGCTGGACCCCCTGTGCAAATTATGGCTGGGCGAGAGACTCTGAGACCTAGTTAAGATAATCAAGTATGTCTGCTTCAAAACACGGGGAGACAGACTGAATCTGAGCAAGAGAACAACACAGGTCTCATTGTTGGTTCAATGCAGTGATTTCTAATGAATTTTATGCAAATATTCACAGCCACTCAAATATGGTCACGGCGTTTGCATCCACTTGTATAGATGACGGGAAAATGGTCAGGGGGAGAAATGGAAGAAATATGGAACGATAAATGAGGACGTGGTGGAATCATGAACTCAGAGGAGGCTTGGAGATGATCGTGTGAGCCATCGAGGTCAAGGGTGGGGGGGGTCACATGACGAGGCGGCAGTGAGAGAGGGGGGCTGAGGGGAGGAGATGGAAACCGCCGGGCAGTGGGGGGGGGTCAGCGTGAGCGCTTACGCCATGCGCCCCGTTCCTCTGGCCTGCCTTGCGCTCCTCCGGCCGGTGCAGAGGCTGTCGTGTCACGTGCAGCTGTCCGCCGCCCGGGTTGGGGGGGGGCGGCGGCGCCACCGCACATGGCCTCTCGCTGATGTCATAGGACTGGGGGAGGGGCGGCCGCGGCGGCACGCCATCCTCTTCCTAAAGGCGACAGAGAGGTTCGGTGTAACGGCTCCCCCTGCCTGATGAGGCCGCCACTGCACCCTGGCAATGTGGCCGCCTGAAGCGATCCAGGAAGCCGCTCGCGTCGAGATCTCAGGGGTCCTCACATTAGTGACACGTTTGGGGGGGGGGGGGGCGTTACGCGATGGCTGATCCCGTCTCTCCTCCTGCCTGTTGTGCCCCCTGCGATTCGTGCGTGTGAGAGTGCACCACAACACTATTTTACCACCAGAACCAAATCATTTCTCAGAATCGATCATCACGAAGAGACTCACCTCGCTCTTATATTTACTGGAGACAGGTTTCGAACCCAGGGCACCTAAAATGAAAAAAGTTCTTGAACATGCTGAACATACTTGTCAAGATCATCTGAATTATTATAACAGAAAACCATATTAAAAAGTTTTCAGAATTTTATAAAAAGGTGTACTGAATGAACATATACCTGGTTAGACTATTACATTAATAAATACATAAGGCTGTTCGAAAGGCCACCAGAATTTGGAGCTGTCTGGGTAATTAATATATTAAAGTTAATTTACACAAACTGCTAATTTGTAAGAGTAACACAGAGGACAGTAAATCAGGAACCATGACAGCATTTTGTGCCTCTGCACAGGTGGGGGGTAACAATCAGCCAACCTTAAGATTCTGTGCTTTAAAACACTGGACAGATGCAGTGTTTGGCTACTATGGCGAAGCTGAAGAATCACTGACTCGGAGACAGAGGCGGTATCGGGGGACACTGAGCAGGAGCCTCGGTGACGGAGGCTGCGGATCACGCCGCGTGACGATGACATGATGCCTGCATGGAGCACTGGAGGTGCAGGAACATGAGGGAACGTGCAAGAAAACGTCAATGAGCTGACTGCAGTCGTCAAGCCAAGGCCTGAGCCGGCAGGACCGTCAGCTAGAGTTTGTGAGGAACTTCACAAAGGGGGTCACTGTGGTGACATTGCAGTGCATGACCCCTTCTTACATCTAACACTGAATCTTTGCGAAGCAACAGAAAGATCACACAAGGTGGTCTACTGAGCTGTGGGGAACGGCCTGATGATTCACTGAGCCACCCAATATCCTATTATAACAGATGGACAAGCAAATCCTCCCTGCTGGGAAAAGCACTGCTCACTCTTTCATGGTGTGGACTGCATTGTTCCAGCATGATCTAGGCTCACACGGCGATTTCGAAGGCAAAGTAATTGCCAATAGGTATGAAGCTATCTTGAGTGATTCACCCATGACTAAAGCTACATTTACATTGATTTACCAGAAGTTTTTTCCAAAGCTACACGGAGCTTGGGGGCAGAGAAGAGGGCGAGCCGGCATCCGGGCCCAGCAGTCAGGTGATTAGAGTGCCAGTCATGGGATGTGAACCCATGAACTTCCGGGGCACAGACTCCAAACCCAAAGTTCCAAGCCCCCCACACAGAACAGAGCCTCTAACCATGCGTCATCACAGAGCAGATCAATGAGCATCAATACAACGTTCTAGGACCATCTCAGTCACCTGACCTCTACCCAACACGCACAGCTGCCTGGGAGGCAGAGCATGAGACTGCCCTCAGCACCAGGATATCCAGAGTATCCTGACTGAGGAGAGCATCACTGCAGCCGAGTATCCTGACTGAGGAGAGCATCACTGCAGCCGAG